TAATAATAGTTTAATGAAAAGGAGTAGGGGTGACATGATAGGAGTCTTCTATTGTCTCAGGAGCTGCCACAAAGAAGAGGGAGTCAAGCTATTCTCTGAACAACTTGAAGACAGGACAAGAAACAACGGATGGAAACTAATCAAGGAGAGATTCAACTTAGAACTAAGGAGATATTTCCTGACAGTGAGAACAATTAACCAGTGGAACAACTTGCCTCCAGAAGTTATGGGTTCTCCGACACTGGAGGTTTTTAAGAAGATGCTAGATCACCAATCATCTGAAATGTGATAGGGTTTTCCTGCTTGAGCAGGAGGTATCTTCTCTTCCAACTCGGTGATTCTGTAATCTCTTAAGGTGGTAGACATTTTTTGCTACTTTGCTGACCCTACTGCCATCACTGGGAAATGGATAAGTCCAGATGCCTCCTGAAAAAAAAGCACCTTTGGGACAACCATGAATGGGATGGCTGTCAAACTCCACGGAGAGATGGACAGCATCTGAACGGAATAAACAAATGAAATAAACCTGAATATAACGTAGACATTAATGAGTTACTTTGGTTTTTGCAGAGACGGAATTGGAAAATGCTATCGATTATCAATTTCAGCTCAGAGTTGTTAGCCGAGAGAGAGAGAGAGAGAGGGGGGAAGGGAGGGAGGGAGGGAGGGAGAGAGTTGGGAAACAGTAGGTCATTCATTAAAAAATTCTTCCTTGACTTCTGACTTTATGATGAAAGCGCTCCACTTTTTTCCCCCTTTGTCTCGTCTCCTTCGATTGCATTTCAGATAATAACACAAAAATAAAACTTGAATAGAGATCCTCAAGGGGAGTATTTTTAGCTGCTCACGTGCTGGAGAAACGACCCGGGGGTTGCAGACTCTAATTATGAAACTGACATTGTAGAAAGCAGGACAATGGTGCCTGTATGTTTTTGTTTGCATGTGTGAGTGCACGCTTGAGGATTCACAGATTCATGGAACTGATATAGAATGTGGTAACAAAACATCCACATTGTCTCTCGTGGACATTCGGTTCCTCTCGCACATATGTGCTACTCATTCCTGACTCTAAGGGGCGGTGCTCATCTCCGTTTCAAAGCTGAAGAGCCAGCGCTGTCCCAAGACGTCTCCGTGGTCATGTAGTTGGCATGACTCAACACCAAAGGTGCACGGAATGCTGTTCCCTTCCCACCAAAGGTGGTTCCTATTTTTCTATTTTCATTTTTTTACATGCTTTCCAACTGCTAGGTTGGCAGAAGCTGGGACAAGTCACGGGAGCTCACCTATTTTTCTACTTGCATTTTTACCCTGGGAGTCTGACCACCAATCAGAGTGCATTTCTTGCGCAGGAACAGGATGCTCTGCGGTGGGCATAAAAGAGAGGGCATAAAACCAGAGCACTCTCAGCATCTCTTCCCTTTTTCTTCTTCAAGATCTTCAAGACATATGAACCAGAAGTGGGTTCCTCTCAGTTCGGTCTGGATTGGGCAAACCAGTAGTAGTGGCAGTGGGAGGCTCCACCCACCCGCCCGGACACTCCTGTGCATGTGCAGAAGCATTGCATCCACCTGCAAATGAATCAGTGGTAAAAAATTTGGAAACCCACCACGGATATGATCCCCCTTCCCCCCCAGGACTTCAAACCATGTAGTCCTGTCCACCATCTTTCAAAGCAGCTTCCGTGCTTCCAGTGTCCTTCTCCCCACTTGGAACTAAGCCCAGTTATGGACATTTCTTCTGACAGCAGGAAACGGGGAGCCAAAAAAATAAAATAAAAGGAGAAGTATGTGTTTTTTCCCTCCTTGCAACCCCTTCCATCCACGAACTTCTAAGCCAGAACAATAAAGACTCATTAATCCTGAAAATCCAGCCACGGAGGGAAGATTCTGCCTTGAAAAATAGCCTTCTCCAACCTCCCTCCAGCACAACAAAGAGTTTATTTTATGTAAACTGTTTGAATCCATTGTCTGCCGGGGAAACGGAGCTGCTTTTCCCTTTAATCTCTCCCTTTATTGTTTTATGACGGTTGTCCATGGGTGGGAGAACATCTCATAAAGCATCTCTCCGTTGTTGGTCTGCTGCATGGCAACGCGGGTGGAGAAAGCAAAGGAGCTGGACGTTTAATGCGACTGTCCACATTAAGCGGGAGGGACGGACAATGTGCCAAGGGACCCTCACACATTAACGATCCCGAGAAAGACTTCTCCCGTCCCCTTTAAGGTTAATCAAGTCGGCATTTGTGTCAGATATAATGTCTAATTAAAATGATGGAAGGGCGCAAATGTCTTCTGGCAGAGGAGAGGAATGGCAGGAAGAGGCGGCATCGGTGCCATATTGGGTTTTTTGTTTCCAAAAAGAAAAAGAAAAAAGAGGAATCAATAAGACAAGCTCATTTCATCCCTGTGTATCTCTCCGTGTTTTGCCATTCAAGTGCTCACTTGAAAAGATGCCAGGTGGCCAACTGGAAGACTGGGAGGCTTACAGGCAAACCTGTTCCTGCTTTTGGAGAGAGAGGGAAAGAGAAGGAGAAGGGAGAAGAGAAGGAGAAGAAGTTGGAAGAAAAGGAGAGGAGAAAGAGAGGGAGAAAGAAAAGAGAAGAAAGAAAATGGAGAGAAGGAGAAAGAGGAGAAAGAAGAGAAGAAAGAAAAGGATGAAAGGAGAGGGAGAAGGAGAAGAAAGAAAAGGGAGAGGAGGAGGAGAAGAAGGAGAGGGAGAAGGAGAAGAGAAAAGGTAGATGAAGGAGAAAGAGGAGAAGAAAGAAAAGGGAGAGGAGGAGGAGAAGAAGGAGGAAAGGAGAAGAGGAGAAAGAAAAGGGGAAGAGAAGAAATAAAAGGGAGAGAAGGAGAAAGAGGAAGAGAAGAAAGAAAAGGATGAGAAGGAGAGTGAGAAGGAGAAGAAAGAAAAGGGAGAGGAGGAGGAGAAGAAGGAGAGGGAGAAGGAGAAGAGAAAAGGTAGATGAAGGAGAAAGAGGAGAAGAAAGAAAAGGGAGAAGAGGAGGAGAAGGAGAAGGAAAGGAGAAGAGGAGAAAGAAAAGGGGAAGAGAAGAAATAAAAGGGAGAGAAGGAGAAAGAGGAAGAGAAGAAAGAAAAGGATGAGAAGGAGAGTGAGAAGGAGAAGAAAGAAAAGGGAGGGAGGATGAGAAGGAAAGGAGAAGGAGAAGAGAAAAGGGAGATGAAGGAGAGTGAGAAGGAGAAGAAAGAAAAGGGAGAAGAGGAGGAGAAGGAGAAGGAAAGGAGAAGAGGAGAAAGAAAAGGGGAAGAGAAGAAATAAAAGGGAGAGAAGGAGGAGAAAGAGGAGAAAGAGGAAGAGAAGAAAGAAAAGGATGAGAAGGAGAGTGAGAAGGAGAAGAAAGAAAAGGGAGGGAGGATGAGAAGGAAAGGAGAAGGAGAAGAGAAAAGGGAGATGAAGGAGAGTGAGAAGGAGAAGAAAGAAAAGGGAGAAGAGGAGGAGAAGGAGAAGGAAAGGAGAAGAGGAGAAAGAAAGGGGGAAGAGA